CCTTGGATGTCTCAGCTTGAAAAAGCACACAATCAGTTGGGATCTCGGTGCCAGGTCCCTTAATTTCAAACCAAATTAGACGTCTTTTCACTCCACTATTGTTTTAGTTAATTGGGCAAACAAAGAGGACTATTAGTGCTGAGATGTCAATTAGGAGCTGCTGGGGTGGGTTCAGTGGTCAGTGTGCCCAGCGGCTCAAGGCTTCTTTCCATTCACATATAGGGCAATGCTGTGTCTGCTTGTGTCTTATCTGAGATCTGGGCTGCTGTCAATGTCTCATCTCTGCTGCCCTTCCTATTCATCATGATCTCTTGATTATATACTCATGTATATTAAATTTACTTACCAGCATTCAGCATAGTCTCTCGAGGGCTAACCTCTAACCAGCCCATTTATTCTCCCGGTAATAAGAAAGACATTTTCTGCTCTTTATTTGTGCTTACATTGTAGTCAGTGCCATTCTTTTTTCTAGGCAGATCATAGATACATAGTTGCTGTATAAAATGGCCATTGAGGGGGATCCGAGGATTAGACGAGGAATAGTTAAATTTTAAACGGTAAGCTGATGACTGCAATTCCTTGTAGCAGACTGTGATTGTCCTTTAGTCATATGGAGCCATACAGTGAAATATTAGCGTTGGTATCAGGAATTCTTACGTAAACAATCACAGAGATGGCCTCAAGGCACACTGAAGACTGACAAGCTGAAAACTCTTTCGGATTTTAAAGGGATCTGTGCTACAAGAGTATTAGTGCATCACAAAGCTGCTATGACTCACAGGTCAATTAGTACTGTCACAAATACATAGAAAGGGCAGCTACTATGGGAGCCAGTGTACCCAATGATATATATTCACTGATGCCACCAGAACACACCTGATGGTATCTGCAGATCACTGATATGTCAGGAGGACAATGAATGATCTACAGCCGGCTCAGTGTCCTTAATTGGCCAGGAGAATACATTAAATAAAGTGCTCTGTTGGGGTGAAGCTTTCAGACAGAGTGATTGATGCAAGCCTTTCCAGGGCATCTGACTGGTCATGCTGGGACTTGTGGTGCTCCGCAAAGCCTTGGTAGCTAAAAATGAAAGGATGCCCTGCGTCTGTGGCAGCCCTGGCAACCCACTGGCCCGTGCCCTGTAATTCTTCATTTCCTGGCTGTTTACTCGGGCTGTGACGTCACGGTTCCTGGCGTCGGTCAGGCTGGCCAGTGCAGGGCAATGCATAGCATCAAAAGAGCAAGCTCCCATTTCCCAATGTGGGAGGACAGGCTGGGAACAGGACAATGAAGGCTGCTCGCACTGGGATCGCTCCGATCCAACCTATGCACATCTCTGGGACTGCTTCATATATTATCACGTCATTATTAATGGGATTCCATCATACAAGGGGCTCAGATATGTGCTAATATCCATCCTTTTCTAACGAAATACCAGTGTGCTGTATAATGGGGGCGTAAGCTCTTTATCGCTGCTGTGTTTGCTTTATGTCACATGCACTTAATCCCTGAGTGATGTGTTGTGTTTGCTGCATTGTGAAACGTTGTGTACACTGGGGGCTCTCTACAAATACCTGTGTATACCTGACCGTGCCGACAGGGCCTGATGCTTCCTGTATGCACACATCAAAAGCCAATCTTCATCGCTGCATCTCTATGGGGGATTCAATGTCCTATAATAACTACGCATAATATACACACACACGTGTGTGTGTATATATATATATATTACACACGTATATATATATTTTTTTTTAGGAAATACACAATACACACAATTCAATACATTTACTATGGGAACAATTTTCCTCCTACCCAGCGTTCACTTCACACTCCACAGTACAGAGTTGGGGTGGGGGGGATCTTTGTTGTAATTCCCCAGAACCTGGTTGGTTGAACAGAAGACATCTGAGTAATTTACAGGAACACAGCTCCCGGAACCACCCCGGTAATAATTGTTCCTACCGGAATATGAAGGAACATTAATACAATACAGATATGGCTGACATATTATAGAGCGTACGTCCAACCTAGACAGCCTGTACTGCGCAATTTGTTTTGGCAGAAATAGATCCCATTTTTGGGGAGAGATGTTCTATGAATAAACGGAATGATTATAGGTGGGTGTACCGGCAGAACTATCGGACAATAGGAAGGAGAATCTGCAATATGTTCAGCAGCTGCACTTCATGCATCAATACTCTGCATATATATCTACAATCAGTCATCTATCGATCTATGGTATCTATATAATCTATCTATCTATCTATCTATCTATCTATCTATCTATATTTCTATCATATATCTGTTATATATTTTGTATATCTATCTATCTATCTATCTATCTATCTATCTATCTATCTATCTATCTATATTTCTATCATATATCTGTTATATATTTTGTCTATCTATCTATCTATCTATCTATCTATATTTCTGTCATATATGTGTTATCTATTTTGTCTATTTACCTATCTATCTATCGATATATCAATCTATCTATCTACCTGGCCATCTTTCAATTTTCTGGTTTCAAACAGATCGGAGCAGCTGTAGCTGCCGTATTCATGTTTTAATTTTCTATTATCATTAACTGTCCATTTTTGTATTATCTGTCTATCTATCTATCTATCTATCTATCTATCTATCTATCTATCTATCTCTATATATTGTTCATTTGTCCACTTATGTATATATAATGTATCTTTCTATTAATATACCTATTATACATCTATTATTTAAATCTCTCCCTCTCTCTCTCGTTCTCTCTCTCTCTTTATTGATATATATATAATCTCTCTTTCTATTATTATTTCTTTCAAATTTCAAATCTTTCTCTCTCCTAGAAGTGTTTCCCTTACACAGGACCCTCATAGTACAGTAGTATAGAGGTTACATAGTAGCAGCGAGTGAAGTCTCAGCTTGTTGCTTATATGCCGCTAGGGGATGCAGTGACTCAACCCAGGGAAACCGGAGGGCTCAGGATCTGCAGCCAAGCAGCCAATCAGAGGCCAGCTTCCAATTTCCTAACTCGCAGCCCTTCTCCCTCCTAATCTCTGCTCCCTACGCTACTTGTTGCCATGTCCTACATTGACTACAACTCTAGCTGTGTGTTTCATAGCAATTCAGTGTCAGTTCAACAAAGCAAACGGGACAGCCATCTATTCAATCCGTCCCATGCCTCGATTTTAGCTAGCTCTGTTCTACAAACAGCTACACAGAATTAGGACTGCCCGACAATCGAGTTTTAGTAGATACAAGGGGGGTGGGGGGATTTAAGATCGTGGGCTGTCATTGGAGACGGTTGATGATATGTTAGGAGTATCTGTAACTTTTAATTTCCCTCATTGGCTGTTATTACAGTCAGCTCCGACCGGCCGGCTCTTGGCATGTGGGGGCAGTACGATCAGCCGGGCAGCATCGCCGAGTGCGATGTGACTGCCGTGAGCCTTGGATACTATAGGAGAAGTTAAAGGGCCACACTGCAGTCCCTGAGCTGTCAGGCAGAGTGGAGGGGCGGAGTTGAGTGGGCGGGACAGGGGCTGTGTGTGACTTTGGGTGTCCTATTCCCTCCCTCTCTGTGTGACAGTCCCCTCCCTCCATACTGATGACAGTGGAACCTCCTTAAGTTGCGTCTCGCCACAGCTGTCTGCGATCATTGAGCCGCCTGGCGCCATCCTGCTACTTTCAGAAAGAATGCCTTCACTGTAAAAAAAAAAAAAAATAGAGGCAGAGAAAACACGAGATCCGATCAAGCAGTTTGAACTTCTTTTCTTGGATCGCATAGCCCTTCCCCTGCTGCTTTTGTACTTTGTCAGAGGTTTGTGCTGACTTTCTTCTCTGACTCAGGGTGCAGACCCCCAACATTTCTGGGACAGTCACCTTGCTCCTTTGTCACAAGGCGCCCAGGTCTCTGGCACACCTCGACTTGTCCCATCGCTCATTCATTCAACTTGCTTTTATTTTTGCTTTCAACTTTTTTTTTGTTTATTCCATTTGATTTAAGAGTGCTGTTTTCTTTTTATCGCAGGTGGCAGACATCACTGGATCTGGTTTTTATTATTTTTTTATTTTTTATTGCTGCACTATCGTTTTTTGTTGTTGTTATTTTGCCAAACCATTGGACTTTCTGGAGCACACCGGGGAGTGAGAGAGCAGAGTGCCCGCTGCTTCTTGGCAATGGATGTCCCAGCAGCAGAGCAGACTCGCTGGGTCAGTAATCACCTTCACCCGGCCGTACTCAATGGACAGCACCACGATAGCCATCACCCACTCAGCCACTCGTATGTGGAACACTCCCAGTACCCTCTGTCCGAGGAAGTGGATGTACTCTTTAACATCGATGGCCAAGGAAACCATGTGCCCTCTTTCTATGGCAACTCCATGAGACCAGTCCAGAGGTACACAGCGACCCACCACAGTGAGTGCCACCCCAGCAGCACTTGTTGCTCACTTACTTACTATCTAAGCAGCCATGTCAAGGCTTGTGTATGTGTTGTTGTGAATACTGATCAATTCACAAAGCTTGAACACATAGATTTATTTAATTTTCAAATAGTTTTGACCTTATCAGACTTTAATTTTTCTTTAAATAAATGTGTATTAAGCTTTGTGAATGGAGCCTACCTTTGTACCATGCATTCATATTTTGAAATTGTTCAGTTACCATGCTCCAAAATGTAGGCACTAAAATACTATGCTGCCGAACCGTGCAGCCCATCGCAGAGTGCACGGTTCGGCCAAGCCAAGTCTATATGAGTCGGTGGCTTGCTGCATGAATACAACGTGTGATCTAGTATTTTCACAGTTTGTGAACAGTTTCCTGCCCTGGTATCAGTGTCTAGCTCTAACCTCCTCCTCTTCCTCTGCTGCCTTTTCATACCTGGTAGAATCTTTTCACACTACAATAACCAATAATGGCTTATTTCACCACCATATACTTTCAGTGGCTCTAAAGAGATCCTAATCTGCCTGCGATGTTTACTGATTTGTGTCTCTTTAGAACAATGTTATTTCTCGCGTTCCCTTGACTGTAATAATTCTGAGCTACAATGGTGCTACAATGTTGATGGAGCGCAGTGAAGTTCTAAATGCCATGCAGCTTTAGATTTAGATGCAATCAGGCAGCAATCCAAAATATTAAACATTAGTTGAATACTGAGAAAATATAATGTTACTTTGTATTTGCATTTAAAAAAGGGAATGAATGGGTCAATATTTTGCAGTCATTAGTTACATTTAGAGTACGTTATTATTAGAGTACGTTATTGAAGCTATTCGTGCTTCTTATTTATCACATATTTGATTTAACGCTTAGTACAAAGGTAATAATCGGCTGCACATTTTTATTACATGTCCTAAACATTTTCAGTGTCCTGAAATCTTACTATACTAATGTCTTACTTTAGGTCAAGTGTGCCGCACCCCAATTCTGCACCCCTGGTTGGATCATAGCAACAAGACCATAGGAGGACCTCATGCAGCATCCCCATGGAACCTGCCTCCCTTTTCCAAGACACACAGCCCCTCTGGACCTCTAACCGTGTACCCTCCAGCGTCATCTTCATCCCTGGTTACTGGACATTCCAGTCCCCACCTGTTCACCTTCCCTCCAACTCCACCTAAAGATGTCTCTCCGGACCCTTCCATTTCCACCACCGGCTCCAGCGCTTCTAGCCGCCAGGAGGACAAGGAGTGTGTCAAGTACCATGTGTCCCCCGACTCCATGAAACTAGAATCCTCTCACCACAGATCATTGGGGGGAGTCCCCCCTTCAGCCCACCACGCCATCTCCAACTATCAGTCCTATGAGTACGGCGCTGGCCTCTTCCCATCCAACATCATTGGGGGATCGCCTACAAGCTTTCCCTGCAAGTCAAGGCCCAAAGCACGATCGAGTACAGGTAGGAGCCTCCTGCAAAGTCTATCCGCTTTTATATATTCCTTCCAAAATCTTTTTCCGACAAGGCTTCTTCTATGTCGGCGACATTGAGATGTATAGTGCTTTGTGTGATACCTTCTGCTGCGTAGTCATTTACTAAGGGGCATCGTTTTTGTGCCATTCTAAGAAGTGTACAGATTATATTTTCTTTCGAAAGGATTAGATTCTGATTAGGTGTTTGAAGCCAGAAAATGACAGCCTTTAATTAATGATCTTGCAGGTTCTGATCAGCTTACAATTCAGAGTGTGCAAAGGTGGGATTCCTTGCATTGCATACAGCCCAGTTAGAGGGATACATAAAATAATGGATCATTTATATTCTATATATTATATACAGGTCATATATATAGATCAGACGCTTAGGCCAGCGCAGATCCTTAGGAATACATGCCATTAGAGGGGTGTGAAGCTGGGGGCATCCATATACAGCTCTCTGTTCTGAACTTTGCTGCTCTGTGTGAAATAAGAGAGCAGAAATAAAGCAAACTCCCAGTGTCAGAGCCTGGCCTGGGATGAGATGTGTTTTCAGGGGGTTTTTCCAGGGTAACATTTGCTTTGCTTGTCTGAGCCGGGACTGTCTCTATTTAGTTGATATGTTTGAGTTAATCCAATTATTTTCAGACTGCTGCACGCGACAGTTTCATTGTTTATCCAGCGCCAAGAAGTTTAATAGGGTCCGGATGTGGTCAGGCTGACCAGAATAGAGAGGATCTGCCTGCGCTGCACACAGGGCTGGGGAGATGGCTGTCAGCTGCCACCGCACATACACAGTGCCAGCACCGGGTCTAAAGACATATATAGCCTGCTCATGGACCTGAACAGTGCCTGATCATGATCACAAAATCGGACAGTCACTGCCATCTGTGGGACTACAGGTTTCAGCATGCTCTACCTGCACACCACTAGGGATTTCTGCAAAGTGCAGCAGACTGCTACTAGTTACACAGCTCATTCATATTTATTTATTATAATAATCTTTTTAGTGTGATGTGATTTATTAAAACACGTAGATAAGTACCAGTTATCACATTTAAATGTAAACAGCCACTAGAGATAAACCAGTTAGCGTTATGTGGATAGATGCAGACACAAAAGGAATGATTAGGGCTAATTTACTATAGGAGTTGAGATTCTCTACAGAATAAATTGTGGGGATATTCATTTTAATTATCCAGTCATGTGCAAAGCAATATTGCTTATTTGTTTAATCTGCACATACTGTAATTGAAGTGAATATTCACACAATTGATTGTGTAAAGATTCCAAACTCCTTTAGTAAAGTGGCCCAGTTGTGTGAGAATGTATAAAGCGTCAGCCTGGAGCAGTGAGTTGCCACCGTAGCCACCATAGCCCGGCTGCAGCAAAGCTTCAATGCATCATTCAGCCCATCAGCGAGCTGCTATTTGGAGAATTAGGTCAGCCTTGGTTCTCTCACCCACATGAGCTGTGCTGTAGAAAAACCCCAAGCTCAGGTAAACAAGAAGTGTCAGCGGTAGTCATCCATCACTAAACCCCAACCCTTAAAATAAAAAAAAGTGTTATGTGAATTGATACTCAATAGATCTCTTTTAATTGCATTATCTCCTAGCCTAAAATAAGACATATTAATGGTGATAGGAAGAAATAGAAAGTAAAAGCAAAGCTTAGGGTGCTCTTGATGGTCTGTGTTAGGATCTATATGAGTTTTGTCTGTGACATTTATGAAGTGATAAAGGCTGGCTTTGCTGGAAAAGCAGTTCTAAGGTGGTGACTGTGCTGCTTAGAGTACAGGAAACAGGCTTAACATGGGTTCAATGTCTTTTTCTAGAAGGCCTCCCACATCTTAGCAGTAAGCGAACTGTCAGCTGTAGGATGAGGCCTGAGTCTTGTGCACCTCCGAGCTGCAACAACATGATGACAAATAAGTGATTGACATAAGATTATTTAAGCCCTTCCCACTCCATTCTTCAAGTAAATTCTTTATTTTTGGTGCAAAAAGAAAAGTCAGACTGAAAAAAAAAGGCACCCTGGCAAGGACAGAGGCAAGAAAGCATTCGGACAGGTTGTAAGTGACAGCTGATTTCCTAATAGCTGTCACAAGTCAGTCACTTTTATTGCTGTAAAATAAAGAGTTGCTGCATCGTAGAATCCTATAGGCGGGAATGCACAGGCGATTGTGCAAGCTTATTATTTACTTAGTAACTGAAAGTATGATTTAGTTTTTCACCTTCCCCATTTATCCTTTGTAGGGCTTTGTAAAGCGCCGCTTACACGATCAGTTGTGCTCCATACAAACACTTACTCCCTTCAATAGTCTGATTGCTCTTCAAAGGCCAAGTGCTCCAACTACAGTGACAAATATCAATATTTTGTCACACATTGCTTAGCAAGAATGCACCTATTTTCAATGGCAAACAATGGAAGATATACTTAAGCCATTAAAGTAAACAGGGCCTCTTCTATTTACTACTGTTCAGAGGCAAAACCTTTGAAAACAGTCTCTTCAAACCCACCTGGAAAATGATGGTTAGAGTACTGTGAAGAGTGAGGAAGGGGGAAGGAGGGGTCGGGTGTTTAAATAAACCACAGCAGTATATGTTACAGAAACCTGAAAATGTTTGATGCTAACTTGAAAAAAAAAAAAAAGGTTACTAGGTGTTCAGCTGAGCATGAAAGCAGTGAGGTCATGTGTCACTAACCTGTCCAACTGTTTATATTTACAGAGCAATGGAATGTTGCTGGTTCCATGTAAACAAAGCATAGTTATAATTTTTATTGTAAATTTATTTCATTTATTGTATAAACTTTATCAAAGTGTTTCCTCCCAGATACCGAGGCAAAACAGTCATATTTTCATCAAAATATATCCACAAAGTGTACATTTAGTATTGATCATAGTAGTGCTAAAAGATTAACAATAATAATAGTCCTGTTAATTTTTCTTTTCTTTTCTATTCTTTAATCTTTTACTCTCAAACCAAATCATGTTTCTAAACTTGATGATTCAGAGTTGCATGCGGATATTCCACTAGAGAAAAATGACGCCTTCAGCAAATTTCTGTATAAAAAGTTACAAAAGTTATTTATGGTGCCACTGAACTAATAGCTGTACATATTTTTGACCAATGAGCCTTCTAATTATAACTTATATGAACTTAGTACAGTGAAATATCCCTAAAGAAATAAAATATATGTGTACACATGATAAGGATTTTTTATCGACAGCGTATGCATTGGAGTTTTACATGCTAAATTGAGTATTTCACAAAATGTTAACCCAGAGCACTTTTATTAAAACAAGGACATTCCCTCCTATGTAACACAATTCAGTTTGCTTCAAATTATGACTCCCTATAGTCAATAAACTGGCATAAACCAGGAGAAAAGGGAAGTCTAGCTGGAATGTAGTCAAACTGGCTAATTCCCACTTTGATGAATGTGCTTCAGTATGTCTAGTTACTGTAGTACAGTTAGGATAGACTAGCAAAGAATGATGGGGGATAGAGTTACACAAATAGCACAATAGATGTTGCAAAGATATTTCCCCCTATTATTAGTAAATCAAGACCTGTGAAATTCTGATAGGTATATTTACTAGTCCAGCAGTTTTTGAATAGCTACTTTTAATGCATCTGTCATCAACTATAAACAGATACATTTTGTGGCAGCTTCGTAAGGTGTAAATGGATTCACAACTGCATGTAGATTTTAATGTAAGGAATTTTTTACCTTGGAGTAATTTCATGCTGGCTCAACAAACCTAGATTTATTTAAATTTTCTGACCAAATGTAGAGAAAGTTTTACATTTATTATTTAAACTGTCCTAAAACTCTCTGAAATCCACATATATTCCCAGGGTGCTATAAAAATTCCTTTAGTACGTTGTCCTAATACTGTACACACAAGGGTCGTTACTTACTAAAGCTATGTGTGTTTACTTCAACTATCTAATCAGGCTATAGGGGCTAATGACCATCCCAGAGTGTTTTGAAGACAAGTTTGCGGGTATGTGTAAATCTTACGCCCCTTAGCAAATTTTCATAGTACGAGGGTTAACATATCTGCAAAACAGTAGCAAGCATAAGCTCCACTAGAGTGCCGTTAAAATTGTGCTATAATATTACACAGAGCCATTTTATTAAGTGAATGCCAACAATATTACTTCTTAAATGCAATCTAATAAAATCCAGACTTAGCTGTGTTTGGAGTAAATTAAATTATTATATATTTTATTGCATTGTTCCCTCTATTCTAAACAACTAGATTAGCTGTTTTACTGACTCAGAACAGATTGATAAGCAAAAACTTTATCAGTAATCAAGGCAATCTATGACTGTTTAGTGATCTCTGCACTAAAAGGTTTTAAGAGCTCAGGAATGTCAACAAAATAATACCTATTAGTAATCTAGTGCCAGAAAATACTTGCAGCAGTTTTTGTATACATGCTAGAAACTAAGCATATGCTTGTATTTAGCACTTTGTTTTCAGTGTAATACCGTTATTATTGTTATTACTCGCTGAAACACGCAGAATGTGAATGGTTTTCCTGTTTAATATGCAAATGTCACTAGTAGTTACCACAAGAAGGCTCAGTCAGCAATACTGTGCTTTCACTTTTGAATAATCAGATATAAACTAATTAAACCATGTAGTAAAGGTGATGAAAATGTACCCACTAATGGTAATCTATGGTGAATTCTATATAGAGTATACACCAAATTATGATATATACATATATAGTCTTAACAATTAAAACACTTGCAATCAAACCGACAGGCCAGGTCAGGTTAAGGGAGGATTAAAAATAATAAAATGACAGTGAAAGAATATAAGATGATAAGATAAGCTTGACTGCATATTTGGTGTGAACCCAGATCAATGGGGTTTGTGAAAAATCAGACCCCATTAGTCTATAACCATGCTGTAATGTCATTTGGCAGAGTTAATTAATATAGTCATGCTGTACTGAAAAGTTGAATAAA